CACTGGTAAACAATGATATGTATTAAATATCAGAGCGTGAACAAACTGTAAGTATGATAGGAACCAAATCTGAGAATCACTGGTATCATGATCTCCTGAGTTTACATGGGGCTGCTGTGTTTTCTCATTAGCAAGATGCATTCTGTGTGAAGTCTGTACTGCAAGATACTCATTCGTGACCAACTCGTGTTATTCCCGGGACAAACCGAATAGCGACTCGTGCCCCTCTGGAAGGATTTCATATTGAACATCAGAACTAAAATCACCGAAGCACTCGTACATTGTATTGCTGTTTTTGTTTTTACTTATGTATTTTAATACAACTAAAAGGAGAAATGTAATTTTCTGAATAAAATTGATATTTTATACTTATCCTGACTCATGAGGTAAGCCCTCCCAACCTCCCCTCAAGGCACTCTGGATTTCCCAGTAAATCAGTGTGTCGGGCTATAAAATACGGAGAGAGTGAAGAGCATGGGAGACAGGTGGCGCCGTTTCCCGCCAAAACCTGGGAAGGGAGGTGACTCCTGGTAAGTGATTTTACGTCCGCTGTTTTGAAGGGAGCTTCAAAAGGGGATTCAAGTGTTCCACTAGCATTTGGAAGGAAAGGGAGACAAGCAATAAGCATGAGTCAGGATAAGTATAAAATATCAATTTTATTCAGAAAATTACATATTTTTCCTTATCCTGACTCATGCTTATTGCTTGTAGAATCCGACGGGATAGGTGGTGGGTCCAGCCACCTCTGGATTCCTTAGTGATGAATTTACGTCCTAGTTAAGCCCATGGAAACTTTTAATGGCACTGCTGCATCCATATGTCGAAATAAGTCTGGTAATTTGGGGGGACCACAATATATCAAACTCTTCTGTAACCGTACATGTGGATTTAAACAACTCCAACTCTTGATGTTCGTATCAGGTGCAGTAGTGACCCTATCCGTGTACAAGTAATTCCTTACAAGTACAGGGTCCAATATTCATGCTAGTCTGTTCTAGACATGTACATGGACTATAAGCTCTATTCCTTGGAGTACAAGCTTTGCATGACATGCGGTAAAAGGGCCAGATACATCTCAGCGCCTTTGAGGGACCGTCAGCTGTTGAGCTACAACCAGAGGTCCAAACTGGTGGATACCGGAGACGTCCTCGGTAGCAATGTCTCTGAGGTAGTGGTTAGCAAATTCTGTCTCCTATTTCCAAAAACACCCTTCCACGATCGTGGATATTGAGCAGTTTCCATGTAGAGTGTAGATGCCAGTGCTCTAACTTCGTGCGGATTGGAGTCTCGAGGAGGCTCAAGTCCTGCTGCCTTGTAGGCTCGTAGTATGATTGCTCTCATCCAAACTGATATCGTACTATGTGAGATCTCTGTTGGTGTCTCCGACGATATGGGGATGAAAAGGCGTTTGAATTTTCGTCTCCTGGTTTTAGACTTTTGTAGATATGTTTTCAGCGCTCTGACTGGACATAAAGATAAGTCTTGTATATCCTGTGGACCAAGGATTGTAGATAATGCTGGGATGTGGAATTGTCTGTCTGGTTGACCTGGCAGTTGAGTCTTAGCTATGAGATCCCACCTCAATCCTAGATGAACCATGTTGTGATGTGTGTCAAAACGTATTCGTTCGAAGTCCAGCGCATGTATTTCTGACATCCACGTCGCGGTTGCCAAGGCGATCAGAAATAGCGTTTTCTGTGTAAGAAATTTGTAAGAAGTTCTTTCTAATGGTTCGTACACATCACTGGTGAAATGTCGTAACACCACATTGAGATCCCAAGCCGGCGCTTTAAATTTCCTTTGCTGGTCTTCCAGTTTAAAAGAGAGTAGCAAGGCCAGTAACTCTGGCACTTTCGTCAGTTTCACGCCTGTCTTCATAGTGATAACTGAGCTGAGAGCCGCTAGGTATGTAGATAATGTCGAACCTTTTCATTTCTTCATTTGTCTGAGATGACAAAGATATTCCGCCACTTGAGGATGTGTTGCTTTCACTGCAGTGAAACCCTTCCTCGATGCATATTTCTCAAAGCTTTGCCACTTGTCGTCATACAAGTTACGAGTAGATCTGCGTAAAGCTAGTGTAACTGCTTTCGCTGCTCTGGCGTATCCTCTTTTCAACAAGCAATTCGTGATCTGTTCCATACGTGTAGGTGGAATAATCTGGGATACTTGTGAACTTGCTTGGTGTGAGGATGAATTAGTAGGTTAGGAAGTTGTATTGTTGATTTCCGAGTTTTGTAAGAGAACGGGAAGCCACGTTCTTGCCAGCCAGTAAGGCACGACCAAAATCAGTTGTAGATTGTTTGTCTGCCTGATTTTCTGTTATACGTGTGGTATGGGAAGGACTAAACCCTGGCGGAGGGAACGCATACGCGTTTAGTCCTTCCCATGGGATGCTTAGAGCGTTTGTCGCCCATGCTTGCGGATCGTGAATTGGAGAGACAAATGTTGCCAGTTGATTGTTGAATCTCGTGGCGAATACGTCTACGAGTGGAGATCCTATCGTCTGTATTATGCATCTGAATGCTTGTGGATGTAACATCCATTCTGTCGGGGATGGTTGATGTGGTCGAGATAGCGCATCTGCTGTTACATTCCTGGCTCCCGGAATGTAACATGCTTTCACATAAATGTTCAGATTGTCTATTATGTTGAATAGTTGAAAGCTGAGGTCGAGAAGATTCCAAGATCTTTTTGATCCTTGTTTGTTTATGTAGAACGCCACTGTTGAGTTGTCCGTATGGATCATCAATTTTGCGTTCCTTAGTATGTTGGACCAATGTAGTAGGGCATTTACTACTGCTTTCATCTCGAGCATGTTGATATGCAGATGCATTTCTTGTTTCGACCATTTCCCGGCAACCACTTTGTTGTCGAGGTGTGCTCCCATCTTTGCAATGATGCGTCTATGAAGAGGTGGACGTTGCGCTCCGGCTCTATTAAGTAATTTCCGCCGCAAACATTCAACTTCTGAGTCCACCATAGTAGGTATGGTTTTAGCCTGTTTGGTATTTCGAAGGGATCCAGACTGTGTAAGTGGGCGTTCACAAATCTCTGTAGTGGACGCAGTTGTAGTCTCCCTCTGTGCTTCATGTCTTGAGCTGATAGGCTCTGCCATTCTCGTAGTGGTAACGGAGAGAGTAGAACTTGAGAGATCATTTGTTGAATCTTGATCCAACGATCCTCTGGAACGAGAATGCGATTCTTCGTTGTTATAAGCCGTATTCCTAGGAATTGTAAGTCCTGAGTAGGCTCTAGTTCCTACTTGAGGAGATTTACTAGCCATCCTAGTTGAGTGAGAAGTCTGATGGTGAAGTTCAATTGCAGTCTGAGTTGACTGGGATCTTGCTGAGCTTGAATCCCGTCGTCTAGGTAGAACGCACTGCGTAGACCTCGACGATGTAGATATATATTGATGGGCTTTGTCACTCGAGTAAACAACCAGGGGGCCGACGATATTCAAAATGGCAGGACCTTCCACTGGAAATGACGTCCGTTGAACAGGAATCACAGATATTTCCTTGACTCCGGATGGATCGGGATGTGTAAGTATGCATCCTGTAAATCTATGCTGCCGAGATAGTCTAACGGACGTATGAGATGTCGTAGTTGTGGCAGATGTATTATTTTGAACTTTGCGGGTGGTAGGAGGTAATCTTTGTTGAATTTCCTCATGTTGTAAATGAGTCGGAACTTTTCTTTTGAATTTTTCTTTGGTACCAGAAAAATTGGGGAGTAGAAACCTGGTGTGACGCAGTCTTGTTTTATCTCTTCTATTGCCTCTTTCTCTAGTAGAGATGTGATGGCTTCTAGTAGATTTCCCCTTCTAGTCTGCAGCGTAGTTGTGAACCAGTGGGTTGATTGTTACTGGTGGTACTGCTTGTAGCTGTATCCTGTAATCTTTGCATAGAATCGGAGATAAGAAGTCGTCTTGAAGAATTCCCCAATTCTTCCAGTAGAGTTGCAGACGTGCACCCACTTGTGAAGGTTGTACTGGAACGGCTGGGGGTGAAAGACTCCAGTTGTTCCGAACCTGTATTTCATCGTCTGGAACTTCTGGCGCCTCGAAAGGGCCGACCTCTTCCGTAGTTACCTCCTGGAGCTGCGGATGGGCGACAAAAAGAATCCTTATCCCCTTTAGCGTTGCCTGATTTCTTATCCCTTGCTCTCTGGATACCTGCAAACTTTGATATGCCAGAATAACGTTGGGAGGTCTGACATATTACACTGGCCAGTGTATCGATAGACTTGATCATCATCACTTCTCGGGAATCTTTAGCGACTTCCTTGGCGATTTTTTCCTGCAAAAATGGATGGTGCTGACCAAGGGGCTCTGTAGAGTGTCTTGGTAAACTTCTCGCTCCAAGTACAGGAAGATAACAGTCCTTGCCTTCTTGATAAAGTTAAGCCTGCAGAAATGGATGATAGGTGTTCAGACATGAACTGATGATCCTTTTTCTGTGTAAGTAGAGCTGAATAAATCATTCGATCTTCCTCTGAAGTTGAATTCTTAAACTTCGAGATGAGAGTCTCGCTGATAGCTCTTGACCTGGCTAGGCCGAAGAAGGTTCGTCTGGTTACGGTGTCTAACTGTGCCAGCTTTTTATCTTCTATCTTGTAAGCTTTCGTCCGAGTGTCGTTGATGATCTTATAATTCTCATCTGTCTCGTTGGCCTTCATGAAAGGTTCCATGTGGTGTAGAGAGAACTTCTTAGTGTTGAACGATGGAATACTCTGAGTCTGGCATTTAGTTGCCTTCTTGAATGCTGGGCTGAGGTTGTCTGGAACCTCCAAGACAGGGTCGATAGGTGGCATCGTGAGTGAGTTTATATCATCATTCACCATCAAGTATGATAGTGCTTCGTTGGTCTCCTTAGAGGGCCCGGGTTCGAATCCCCACATGGGTACAATGTGTGAAGCCCATTTCTGGTGTCCCCCGCTGTGATGTTGCTGGAATATTGCTAAAAGCGGCGAAAAAACAAACTCAGTCAGTCCTTAGAGGGTGATGCGAGTTCCAAACCATTGGCTATCCATGACTTGATTTCCGAGTCGGAAAATATAATTCCGCCGTCATCTTCCTGCTCTGAGGATGGATGTTTTCTATTGTCGTCTGAACGAGGAGACCTGTAAGGTGATCTGTAAGACGATCTGTGTGGTGACCTGTGTGGTGACCTTCGTGGCGAACCATATGTTCGTGAAAGTGTTCGTGACTTCCTTCGCGCAAACCTGCGTGTAGGTGAACGGCTTTGTCAAGGGTTGGAGTCTTGTGACGAATCTCTATGCCTTTGTACGGATGTAGATTCTCTTCTCCTTGGTAACGAACCGTTGCGTGCAGGTTCATGACGAGCGTCCGTATCTGACGTCGATGATGATCTACGTGGGTTCGGCGAACGTAGTTGGTGCGGGTTCCACGTTGGTATGGCTGCCAGGTGTTCGTGCAGACGCTATAGTCGAGCTCAAATCTTCCTGTATGCTCTGCAGGACGTTGGTTCCCAACGGACGTGGTGTGCGCTCAGTTGACCTTCACTCAGGTTCGTCGCAGACGTTGTCTTCGTCGCAGCTCTCTCGCGTGTGAACCGTTGTTCCATCAGATCCAACATCTGTTGGGTAAATTGCTGCATAAAGGCGCCCGGGTTGAAGGTCTGCATTGTCTGTTGTACTGACGACGCATCTGAGACGGATGAGGCTTCTTCCGAATGGCGTTGATCCTTCGTGCCGAACGTCTGCGTTGAAATGTTGTCCTGCGTGGTCACTGTAGAAGACGTCTTCGTCTTCTTCTTAGATGTAAACTCAGGGATGAGGATGGGCGGCTCATTGTAGACATCTATTTTTTTCCAGAGGGACAATCTCTGCTGAAAAGGAACTCGTTTTCTGCGTTGCCCTGTGTGGAGACTTAGACAAAGTTTTAGTTGTAGCTGACTTCTTCCTCTGGGAAGATGATGCCCTAGTCTTCTCAGACTGTGAAGATGGTGAATCAGATGTAGATGACCTCTTCCTCGAGCCAGCGTTGTCTATGGCGGCAACCTTCTCCGTAGACGACTCCGGTAGACCACTGGAATGGTGAATCTGCGCAGACACCAACTGCCGGTCCTCTGCAAGCTTAGCCGGTTTAGACATGTCGTGTAAATCTCGTCTGGACCTGTCCTTTGCACGTCTAGACAGATAATATGAATATTTGTAAAATGCAATATCAGACAGGTGAAAACACAACTGACAACGAGTGTCAGATAAACATATAGGCTTGCAATTAGGACGTAGGTTATGTGGATCAACAGCAGACAAACAATACCTACAACCAGAACAAGATTTCATCAATTGTAAACAATGAGAATAATCACGTAAAAACATGATAAAAACAGAGAAATTTGAGAATTAATTCCGTAGAATATTGTGGGTAAATGTAAACGAAAGCCTTATACAGCTTTTTTCTTATTTAGAAGAAAAGTCTAAATAATAAAAGGATATAAAGCCGTATAGGGGACCAGGTGCTCTCACAACCACCTACTCGGGCGAATCAGGAGAGAGTGAAGAGCATGGGAGACAGGTGGCGCCTTTTCACGCCAAAACCTGGGAAGGGAGGTGACTCCTGGTAAGTGATTTTACGTCCGTTTTTTTGAAGGGAGTTTCAAAAGGGGATTCAAGTGTTCCACTAGCATTTGGAAGGAAAGGGAGACAAGCAATAAGCATGAGGCGGGATAAGGAAAAAGAAAACATATTCTTAAGACATATTCTGACTTAATTATTACCAGCTGTTCCCCCAAGAGGAAATAATAAACATATTTCAACAAGTCTATCTTAAATTTGTATGGAAAGACAAACCTGATAAAATTCAAAGAGATGTAATTGCTATGCCACCTGAATCTGGAGGAATTAGTGTCCCACTCATTAAGAATATTATTTATGACAAAAAATATCATGGATAAAGAGATTATATTCCAATAGCTGCAAATGGAAAGCATTAGTTTAAAATTGTATTACTTAACTACAGAAGACTCTGGTAAGCTGATCCTGAATATATGGAAAAACACATAAAACCTTACATAAGAATTCCTTTTTGGAGAGATGTAATCTCTGCATGAGGATTATATTTACAAAAGCAATATAAGACACTAAATCAAACGACATGTTAAACCAATGTATTTGGTTTAATTATATGTTTAACATAGGTAACGAGACAATTTTTATAAACAGTTGGTACAATGCAGGAATATACTTTATATATGACCTAATGAACCCAACTACAGGGGAATTCTATACTTATGAAGAACTACAAAAAAATATATCAAGTTACAACATATATCTTAAGATATCACAGTATTAAATCTTCCATAATTGCCTGCTTAAAGAGAAGAAAATCACTCTTCCCAAAACACTACCATTTTCTTCAGTACTGCCATTCAATATATCCAAACTTAGTCTAAGGGTTAAAGGCTCCAAAACCGTTCATCTTTCTCTACTAGACCCCAATTACACTAAATCATATGCACATAAAGAGAGGGAAAGAGTCTTTGAAACACAGCATGATAACCCCATAACATCAGACACATGTTACTCACGTCGCTCGTATGATATGTTGATACGTTTAGACGACAATGGAGATATTAACTGGGCTTCGGCAGTACGACCAATGTTATTTCAACATGGCTTTGCTTAAGTATGGATATATGAAAATGTTGGAAACTGGGAATTGTTTTTAAATCTTTTCAAACAACGTTGTAAAGACATGTACTATCAAGAATGGACACAAGATATAAGAAACTCAAAATCATTACATATGTATTCTGCCTTTTTGTATTTGATTGCACTCTCTTCGTTACATCTGCGCAGAGTCTTAACAAAATTCAGATGCGGCTCAACCAATTTGAAAATAGATCATAAGACAATGACATTAGTGTAGTTATGTGCGATTATTGTAAAAGCGTACCAGAAGATGGGTATCATGTGTTAATGAAATGTCCTTTATATGTAGTGGTAAGAACTCACTACATACCAAGTATCTATATTATGAACCAAAATAAATAAAAATTTGTACATCTTCCAAATACTAAGAACCATAATATCCTACTCCGTCTAGCAATTTTTGTAAACAAAATCATGTCCATGGGCTCTGAAAAAGTTTAATGTAAGTTGTCATTTTGTACTAATGCCCTCATGGCCACATTCATGAAATAAACCTGTCTGTCTGTCTGTCTGTCTGTCTGTCTGATAACACAATATTACAAAACATATATGATGACAAATTTTTGTACAACATGTAGTAACATGAAATGGTTACAGATGAAGATATTATATGATATTTTACCCACAAACATTTTCTTAAATAGAATCGGTCTAAGGGACACACCTATATGTACATTCTGTTGAATGAATTAGAAACAATTGTCCATCTACTCTGTAATTGATATCATGTTAAAATGAATTGGGAGAGTTTGACCAGATGGCTAATGACTGTAACTGAAGGCAACATTGACTTTACACCAGAAAACATCTTACTTGGATTTAAGGGGGAAAATAATAATTCCCTAAATGAAATATGTCTTGCTATGAAACAGGTAATATACACACAAGAAATAAAACAACAAGTTCCACATTTCAGACATGTAGTAAGGGAGATATCAAAATACTATGAAATTACAAAATATAATGCTTATTCTACATGCAGTAGCAGTGAGTTCTTTACCTTCTGGTCATCTTTCCACAATCTATTTAAAAATATATGACGTCAGAAAACATATTGTAAATGTATATAATTACTATTACTTTTATTTGAAACACAGAGATACAGTATGCAAAACATATTCAAAGACGTTTATTCATGGTATGAGGGGATTTGTGAAAGTGTATTAATTATACTCATGTGAATGTATTCTACATGTACTATGTAAACTGTGGAAATAAGGATGGTAAATAAAAAAAATGCAAAAACATTACCAGCTATTCACTTTATATTTCCAATCATATATTTATAAATTGGGTTTAATAATCACAAATGGAATTTGTTTTATTGGATATGGAAATGACATATAAAAAATTCAGCTACATTAAATCCCAAAGCAAATACTCAAAAATGGCTTTAAAATATTTCTCAAACTGAACATTCGTGTAACCTTGCTGTCATACACCTGGAGGAATTTTAAAGAAATCGCTGACAAAAATATGAATGATCAAACAAAAGTTAGACTAAAATATCTCCAGAGATGTGAAACATAAACCCAATCTTCAAGATTAAAGTTGATTAGTTACATACAGATATATTATTGTTTTGAAACTCGTAGCGATTTAACTTATTTTTCCTAAAATTGTTGGAGACACAAATACAACCACCAAATCAAGCCCACAAGATCATCAGAAATACACTCAGCTGGACCCGTGAGAGCTGTTATGTCAACAAATGCACGTGCGTATATTTGAATCTCTCACCGTCAACCACATTATCCTTGCTAAAATCTATACAGTTCTGTTAGCTATGACCTTAGTACTTTCAATATAACGATATATATTTTTCATGATTTTTTTAAACAATAACATAAAGCCATAAACGATGTAAGTAGTCAGTATTATTTTTATCAAAGCAACGCAAACACTACACGACTTCTGATTGGTTTGTCGTATTTTCGCACATAACAAGCATCGAAAGGGGGATGAGTCTTCTTGGAGATTACGGAAATGGGGGGAGTGGTGACGAATGCAAGATACTGTGATGTTAGAGATGTGACAATACAGAAATTTCACGATACGATACGCATCGCAATATCTTGGAACGATACGATTCTCTTCTATGCATGTCACAATATGCTTTCTTTAGTTATTTTCTTTAAAATGTCATATTTGAATAGTAAGACATTTTGACATAACCGTCAATATCTAATGAAAATTAACAATTATAAGGTCAACGATACATGTCACGATACGAAAAAACATATTGATATATTTATCGTCAGATAAAGTATCACGATTACCGACACAACGATATATCGCCACAGCTCTGTGTGATGTCATATCAGAAACAAATTAGCCTGTATTTACCCGGTATAACATTTGTAACAGAATGGATACAGTTGTGGTTGTGGATAGAATAGCCACCATTAAAAACACAAGAGGATGTGTTCGGTAAAGAAAATCCTGTTAAACTTGATATGTGGTACACATTTGGATATTTGAGTGATTTCACACACTGAATTTTCGGACAATATTGCAGTCATTTTGCGATTTTCAAAATTAAATCATTACTCCTATGTAATAAAGAGGCTAAGAACATCATTGAAATATTTGAACAATATATATCACATAGTTTCTGTGAAGAAGAATTTGGTATTATAACCTGTATTTCTCACTTAAACAAGCTGTTCTGGCAGCGCAGTATTAATTGGTGAGAATTGAAATGTTTCCATATGAAATTGGAACAATATTGACAGTTTTGAACAAGTAAACAAGAACGGGGTAGATATACATCAAGGTTAACCCATGACAAAAATGTCAATCTGAAAAAAAATTCAAATTACTGTTTGAATTGGAGCTTGATCCAGCTATTCAGTGTAATTACACAAATAAGATATCTCAAACAATTCAGTTTTTGTTTCTGAATAAATTGTGAACAGAGTCCCATGGAGTATTTTATTTGAAATAAACAATCAGGCTAGCAATTCTCCAAACGTTTGTAGCCCTACGAGCTCCTTAAGCCCATTCTTAACACATTGGCTACGATCAAAGTTAAGAATTCTTAGAGATACGAAAGTTTCGAGAATAAGGGCCCAGGGTGACAAAATGGAGGCCCAGTACAACGTGACACCAAGACTGAAGCATAAAACTTTATAGATGACAACTTCTTATTTTTGCATACAGCGATGTTTAGATGTCGTTTGTTACACTGTGTGAGGCTGAAAGTGACTACAAATAAGTGATGATAAGTATATATATATATACATAGACTAGTATGTTATGACAAGCAGCAGAAGAACATTAACAACTGTATGTAATTTAAAGCTTAGATGCAACTAACAAAATAAACATAATTAAAACAAAATTGTCACTTATTTATGAAACATAACATACATTTCTGATAATGAAAAAACAAATAAACAAAATTATAAGCGTACAATCTCAAATCAAAAGTGCAATATTTTGTACTTGGGTATACTATCCTTGAAATGAAGCATCCGGTGTACCGAACCCAGTCAGAGCGGGTGGGTGTGCACATAAGCGTAACGAAGTGTTTCATTGGCTGGTTCATTTGCCGATACACTCAGAGCTCTTTGTTTATGGTGTATAGCCTGATAGGTGTTGAGCTCAAATTGCATGTGGTCAGTGATTGAAGTTGTGCATTGCATATTGTCATTAGCAGACAGGCAGGCAGACACACAGGGGCAATAAAACAGACATTGAGTTTTGTCTGTGACAGAGGCTGCTTATCACAATCAACATGGTTTATTTTATGTAACGAGTAGATTATTTACCATTTGTTATTTTTGTACAAAACCAAGATTAGACTACTCCTGCACATGACCTTATAATCGGGCAGCCCGGTTCAAGCCGTGCAAACCTATTCACTGTGCATGCGCTATGTGCACAGCGAGCACAGCTGTTGAAACCACTTTTCACCCCAGCTGGTTTTTTAGTGAATCGTTTGAACTCTGATTTTGCGGGATTTTTTTGAGCGCGTTATTTTTCAACTTTATAAGTTGAATTTGCATTTTTGATAATTTGTTACTGTAAGCATGGTAAGCCCATACCAAAAGGTATCAGAATCTGCAAAGTTATGTTTTCGTAGCATGTAAGCTTTAATAACAAGTGACAGCAAATTTCAAGGGCTTCCAAAAGTTTTTAGTGGAATCCTGATACTTAGTGGATAGGATTTCAACTTTGTCAAACTGGATTAGATGATTGGTGAATTTTTGTTGGTGACCTGAGATGGCAGATTTACTGTTTGTCTTGATAATGGTGTATGAATCTACATCGAAACATTCATTGCTCTATTCAATAAACAAGAAATTGTCATCCTAAAGTTATATGCTTCTTTTTGGACTCACCAACTTCGAGATTGTTGATCAAACCAACAGTGACACCCACCTGTACTTAGTGTGATTGCTTGGCTCTCCAGCTCAAGGACCTCCTCGTGCTCAGCTGAACCTGCAGGTACCAAGAGACCTTCATGTTCCTCATCTGAACTGGTATCAACATCAGAAACAGGCAAGTCACTTCTCAAAGCTGACATGTCCATGTGACCTTCAGGTGGTCCACTGGAAGGGGCCAAGTGACCTTCAGGCCGTCCACTGGAAGGGGCCACGAGACCATCAGGTTGCCCACTGGAACTGGCCACCCGACCTTCAGGCTGCCCACTGGAAGGGGCCACCTGACCTTCAGGCTGCCCACTGGAAGGAGCCACCCGACCCTCAGGCTGCCCACTGGAAGGGGCCACGTGACCTTCAGGCTGCCCACTGGAAGGGGCCATGAGACCTTCAGGCTGCCCACTGGAAGGGGCCACCCAACCTTCAGGCTGCCCACTGGAAGGGGCCACCCCACCTTCAGGCTGCCCACTGGAAGGGGCCACCCGACCCTCAGGCTGCCCACTGGAAGGGGCCACCCCACCTTCAGGTTGCCCACTGGAAGGGACCGTGAGACCTTCAGGTTGCCCACTGGAAGTGGCCATGTTGTCTTCAGGCTGCCCACTGGGAAGGGCCATCCGACCTTCAGGCTGCCCACTGGAAGGGGTTACGAGACCTTCAGGTTGCCCACTGGAAGTGGCCATGTTGTCTTCAGGCTGCCCACTGGAAGGGGTTACGAGACCTTCAGGTTGCCCACTGGAAGTGGCCATGCTGTCTTCAGGCTGCCCACTGGAAGGGGTTACGAGACCTTCAGGTTGCCCACTGGAGTTGGCCATGCTGTCTTCAGGCTGCCCACAGGACATGGCCAAGATAAGATGTTCACTGTCCTTATCTTGGCTGGCTCCTTTTGTCACCAAGAACTATCTGTGAAAATAATGGAGAATCTAATTATGCTATAAAATATACTGGTCTGACAGCTTAGAGCCCTGGACTGTAGCTCACCTGCTTTATATCAAAGTTGAAGATCAGTTATGAAACTTTGAACATTTGACACTGTATAATACACTAGGAGGAGGATGATATACCCTTTCAGACACTATGAAAATGTCCCTTCCTTACCATATATATTTCAGCACCAAAAAGACTTTTTTTATTTCCCTTTTGAACTATTTCAACATCTTTATCGATATATACAGGGATTAAGTGTACCGTGTGTATTTGTCTTGGCAACAGGGCCGGAAATAGCAATCAGCTGTGCAACGTTTCCCCACGATCTACCGGTGTCTTGGTTAAAACGTACCCAATAATACAAGGCAACTAAACGTGGATACAGTGAGTGGACAAGCATTTCCCATGTTTTGCTCTGTAAATGTCAAATATATATAAAAAGGTTATGCGGCAGCGCTTAGTGTAGCGCCGGATGCACTTTATGTATCGAACAATTTGACCTGTTGTGGTTTCGCACGATCTCGCTACTTCCATCGCGTTTGTTGACAAGTGGTCATCCTGCCGTAATAAATGTGACTTATCGAAACATTATATTTTCATATCCATATTTGTCAACTGCACTTGGTTTCGGGGCATGAGTGGATGTAATATGATTGTGATTTGTGACTTGTCCCGGAATAACATGAGTGTGTTCCCTCTTATCCGCTCTTGCCATTATCTTTACTGGCTTGTCAGTCTAAGTAAACTTTTGCTCAGTATTATTCGTTACGATGCTATACTGAGTCTAACAAAAGCTTGTGGAAGGTCGCGTCAGGTAGCCTTTGAGCGACCTAGATAGCATTCTGATGTTGGCCCAATGACCGCCCAATCAAACGCGAGACGGCCTAACGGATTTAACCCCAATCAGACAACGGCTACTATTTAGGGTTCGGCGGTTCTTACAAAATGCATTTTCTCTTCCCTGGTCGCCAATACTAGCATGTCCAGGCCGACTGATTTCCAAGGGAACTAACTCTTGCCTGAACAATCTAAAAGTTGGTCTGATTTTTCGCGAGGGAGGGGGCCCTTGTTTTACAGGCTCCTGTTCATTTCCTGCACTTATTAGAGTGAAACAAATGACTGGTCCCTGTTGCTGATACTTTGGAGCAGACGCCATCAGCAGTCAAATTGATTTCAGGTCGGTATTTTGTTTTTCTCACAAATTTGAAACTTTATACATTCTCGGAAATATGTTTATAGGTATTTGGCAGCATTTTGAACATTGCTGATTGAAGATCATTGACTGAGCAACATTTTAAGATCAATCAAAACTTTTTAGAGGAACGGAAGAGTTGTGAAATGGTTTTGTAAACAGCACTAGGGTCTTGAAGTAAAGGGCAAGTAACTCTGCCAGCTCCTAGCAACAAACATCAGCGGCCTAATAGCAAGTTGCTGTTAGATGATAATAAATTTATTTATACTATCATACTGTACATCACGTTTTAAAGAATATGTGAGACAAGAAATATTTGTAAAAAAAATTCGTCGAACTTTTCTATTCTATTTATATTTCATGAATAATAAATTAATAGGTTATATTCCTGAATATAGTTTACATGCATAAATGTTACAATTAATGAATTATTAAATACATTGCTAAAATATAATCATATATTCATTATTGATTTGAGTGCTTTTGCAAATGCAGCAATAACTATTTTCTCTCTATAGTATGTATTAAGAATTGTTAAACTTGTAAATCATCCATTGATAATGGATAAATGTTACAATTATTAGATTCATCATGTTAAATACAGAAATTCTCAACTACAGTAATTGAGTAAAGAGTTATTGTAAGAAATGTTTTTTAACTTTTTGTTGTGTTTTCCATGACTTTCTGTTAACCCAATGAACCAACTTTCTTTTGTTCTTCTACTTACTATTAACTGAACACTTTTTGTTGAATATACTAGTTCCCTTACACTTCTTGCCAACATTTTTAATCATGCTAAAGATAATGTAATTTCATTTTTCAAACGCATACAAAATCCTAAAATAATTTTTCTGAAAATACCTGGAATATTTATTTATGCAAAATCAAATTAAGATTAAATTAAATTCTGTCTGCAATAAAAGAAATACATGATTTTCTTTAACACATGAAAAAAAACATGATTATTCATGGTTTTCTTTTTCCTTCTTTCAGGGCCATTGACTCGGTGATGTACCTCAGAAATCAGAAGATATACAGAAGTTACACCAAATGCTTTAATATGGATCGTGTTATCATTTAGCGTAGTTGCTTGAACTTCATTGAGATGATTGAAGGACAAATGTAGATATCATCTAACATCACTTTTGAAAATGTTTTTAAAAAATTCTCAGGATGCCTTATCTATGCTCTATATTTGTTATATATGGCAATAATTATGTTCTTGTGTAACTTTTTTAAGTGTAGATATCTACCACAGTCTTAAGCGTTAATCATTCACAGCTTGAGTCATTCCGTCCCATTAAATGTTTATTATTTTTGTTTGTTCATAATAACCATTTTCTATAAAAACAGATAAAGATTGTTCAATAAATATAGCATTAGCCATTCCAGTTGTAAGTGATATCTACACTATGGAGAATAAATTTATTGTGATATTTTGTTTGTCTTTGAAATATCTTTTGTTTCATATTAAAAATCTTTTTGCATAAAAATGGTAGTTGAAAGCTGGTTTCCACACCTCAATTCATTCTCCATAAAACTTAGGTAAAGAATATTGTTTTATGTTATGAATATTGCAATGAAAATGATTACAATCACAAATATGTTAAAATTATGTTATATTATTACCAAACATTTTGACACTTTTAAAATTATTGCCCACATTTTTGGGGCAATTTGAAAGCTGTAATAAAGAGAACGAACATGTACCAAATTTGTGATTTTTAGGTTTTATCATTTTTCACCTTAATTAAAAATATATGGACCTTGGACATGTTTCTCAAAACTTGGATCATGATGGAAAAAGTGGGCATGGCCGGTTGAGGTAAAGAAATGGCTGTATTTTTTGTTTCACTGAACAAAAAGTAAAGTGTTTTGCATTTCTGAGGCATATATTACGGAAGCGCTGAAGGGACCTCATAAAGTAAAAATTATCTTGAGCGCACAAGTTAATATCTTGAGCACACAAGTTAGTTATCTTGAGCGCACAAGTTAGTTATCTTGAGCGCACAAGTTAGTTATCTTGAGCGCACAAGTTTATATCTTGAGCACACAAGTTACTTATCTTGAGCGCACAAGTTAATATCTTGAGCGCTCAACTCCGTGTTTAGCATCTAATGGCATTAATGGAACGCACATTTGCTTGACTGCTGGCTAAAATGTACAAACTTATATCCTTTTTGGAAGATTTCAAACGATGCAAAGTCGGAGTTAACTATAGGTGTTTATGATGAGACTATGTAAAAGTACACAAATGTATCATGAACATTGATAATGTTTATCATGTAAACGTTCATCGTCTTTATGCTTGTCAATACTATTCTTTGTATCTGATTTTACCACTTTTTGCTTTATTACATAAAGCAGGCCTAGGTTTGTGTCATGTCATAATAAGAATTAAAACATAAACATGAGTAGGAGTTTATTGCAGGGATGAATAGTGGTTTTACTTACTTCTTATATTGGTACATAGTATTATGAACACTTGGATAACTTGTTTTTTGCTACGGCTTTATTATGTATATATAGTATTACATGACCATGAAAAATGTAAACATTGAGTATTATACTTAATTATCTTAATTATAAAACTAATGTCTGATGTATTGGAAGTAAAGTCGACCACTTTCAGGGAACTATAGTCTGTAGTCTTGGTATGCACGTATCAGTAACTGTTTCCTAACGTGGGTACAATGGCAGTTTAACTCTGTACAATATCATTTAAAACCCCCCTGATTTATTTGATCCATTAGTATGTGCACGTATAGCATATATACCGACTTATTTCTTACTATAATACCGTGTTCCCCGTTTCACTTCTTCCGTATCAATCCCTTATGTATACGTATGTGTGTTGTAGTTTATTTAACATGTTTTAACAACACAGGAAGTTGAAGAATAAAGATGTCGATGAAGACAGTGTCCTGAGCGAAATTCAACACCATTCGGGTCCAACAACGACCGTACAGTATCCTGTTTCACGATTAAACCGCACTGGATACATTTTTGATGCATCAACGATAACCATGTCTTTGTTCAGATCGTCGAAGTCGTCCGCAATAAAGTATGTAACATCAGCGCGGCGGTGGGGTAGCCTCGTGGTTAAAGCGTCCGCTCGTCACGCCTGGGTTCGATTCCCCAACCTGGGTACAATGTGTGCAGCCCATTTCTCGTGTTCCCCACTGTGATATTGCTGGAATATTGCTAAAAGCGGTGTAAACCGTATTCACTCACTCACTGTAACATCAGCAAATCTGGTATCTGGTACGAGAGAGGGACATACACCTCAGAATACGCTTCAAATGAAAACCTGCATACAATACACATAAATGGCCTGCAGAAAATACGCTTTGGGGTTTCTGTTGACAGGGTTATCATTGGCTAATATTTCCGCAAGCTGACATCCTTGAATACTGACAACACGCTATTTTCAGCGACTCACTGTGGCGTGCTCCATGTGCATCATTCGGAAGCGATCGTACGGAAAATAGCATTCGGAATCGTTCGGGTACAAAACCTTTTCGAGGTAAAATTTCAAAAGGTATGTGCAAATGTCAACTTTCGCGATTTGGTAAGCTGTCTTCTGATTGGTCAACTGAAAAACTTCCCTGACGCGACCTTCCACAAGGTTTGAGACTCAGTATAGCAGTGTAACGATAATACTGAACCTAAGTTTACTTAGACTGGTGAAAGAGGGTGACACATTTCATGTTGATTACTGCT